GATGAAGTACTGCATCCCCAAATTGCAAATAAATATGCGACAATATCATTACTTTCATTTGCCTCATTAGTCGAAGAGGAAGTCGATCAAAAGTATTACATGTACTTTCATAACTACATTATTGCCATCTTCATCATTGGAAAGAATTTTGAATGTTGACGTCCATATACTAATTAAAGATATTTGTACATCTATGTAATAATTAACTAATTAATGTAGGATTCTGATTAAGAAGGATAAGTAAGATTATATATAAAAATGATTATTATTGGGTATAGCCTCTAGTGATGATATTACGCATTAATAATCTGTCAACCTTCTATGATGGATGATATTAATATTTTGCTGAAATGTGGCCTTATTATGCAGCTCATTTAACCACAAAGTAATGTGTTCTATATTTCAATATGTCCTTCAGAGGGGAATAGAAGGAGAGCAAATCAGTTTGAAACATGTCTTGCACATTGAGTCATTCCATTTATTGTGCAGTCCACAGCTTAATATTGACAATGTACGTAAATACCAAGGAACTGTCTCTGATGACTATTAAGTAGGCTTAATTACTGCACTTGTGGCCTACTAAGACCACCCCAAGCATCGTTTTGTGAGAGGTTAAGAATACAGCCGTTTCATCGTCTAATGGGTGGTATTGAAGCTACCTTTTGTGGGGGAAGGTATCTGATTGTTGGGGTATAGAAAACCACTGTAGGCATCGTAATGTGGGAGGTATTGAAACCTGCTGAAAGCAATGTCCTTTTGGAGATAAGAAGACCACTGTAGGCATTGTCTTGTCGGTATGGAAGTAAGAAAAAAAAGATGACCATGGGTGTTACGGGAGGTGGTAGAAACGACTGTTCGCACTGTCTTGTGGACGCACTAAGAATAGACAACGACTAATATCGCGAGCACCATTTTATGGGAGTTATAGCTTGTCGGTACAGAAAACAACCACTATCATCGTTGTGGTGTGGGAGGAATAGACAAAGCCTGCGGACCGCCTCCGCCATCCCGCTAGGTCATTTGTGACTTGATATTCCTGAATTGAAAAGCACGTTTTTCTGATGCTGGCTGCAATAAAAAGTTTTTAGTCAATTTTTGCCTTTTAAAACAATTACTTATTTCAATTTCAGGAAATATTCATTAGACCACATACCGTGAAAAGTGAATGGAAATGAATTATTTTTCGTTGAATTACAATCAACAAAAATTTTTTTACTTAGGTAAGTAAGGTATTAAATTTTCATGATGATTGAAAATATCAATTATCACCATCTGATGGTTTAGAATATCAATGATAATCATCTGATGGTTTAGAATATCAATGATCATCATCTGATGGTTTGATATATCAATATTCACCATCTGATGGATTGATATATCAATGATCATCATCTGATGGTTTGATATATCAATGATCATCATCTAATGGTTTAATATATCAATGATCACCATCTGATGGTTTGATATATCAATGATCACCATCTGATGGTTTGATATATCAATGATCATCATCTAATGGTTTGATATATCAATGATCACCATCTGATGGTTTGATATATCAATGATCACCATCTGATGGTTTGATATATCAATGATCACCATCTGATGGTTTGATATTCAATGATCATCATCCGATGGGTTTATGTATCAATGATAATCATCTGATGGTTTGATATTCAATGATCATCATCTGATGGTTTGATATATCAATGATCATCATCTGATGGTTTGATATATCAATGATCACCATCTGATGGTTTGATATATCAATGATCATCATCTGGTGGTTTGATATATCAATGATCATCATCTGATGGTTTGATATACCAATGATCACCATCTGATGGTTTGATATATCACTGATCATCATCTGATGGTTTGATATTCAATGATCATCATCTGATGGTTTGATATATCAATGATTATAATCTGATGGTTTGATATACAATGATCATCATCTTCGGATGGTTTAATATATCAATGATCATCATCTGATGGTTTGATATTCAATGATCATCATCTAATGGTTTGATATACCAATGATCATCAGCTGATGGTTTGATATTCAATGATCATCATCCGATGGGTTTATGTATCAATGATCGCCATCTGATGGTTTGATATTCAATGATCATCATCCGATGGGTTTATGTATCAATGATCGCCATCTGATGGTTTGATATAGCAATGACAATCATCTCATGGTTTGCATCTGACGTTTTAAATATCAATTATCATTAACTACTAGTTTGAAATATCAATTAATATTCACCAACTAATGGTTATTATTATAAATGACTATCAATTAATGATTTGAAATACCCGCAATGGAATACTAAACCTTTCAAAGTTGTGAATATAGATTGAAGTTTCGGTGGTCATAATTGATGGGATGAAAAAACAATGACCAACATTTCATGCTTGGGATACAAATAAAGTTAAATGAAATACTTTAAGTCGATTTCATCATTTGATAATATTTCCTTGTATATCATATATAAACGGCAATAACCAGATACATTTTACTTAGTTTTTAATAAAGATAATATTCACATTAAACTTCTTTAATTTTCAAGAAGATATTTTCGAAAATGTCTATTATTGATGAGGTCACGCGTTAAAAATAAAAGAAACATGATGGTCAGTTAGTGTGATATAAGAAAGAGGCGGTATAGGGAAATGAAAGCCATAAAAACAATACATCATGTTACCTTCTATTATGTATTTGATAGAATGTTTGGGTGGATAAGTAATCTATTTACACCAATACTAAAGTACTTTTAAACTAGAATATTTATTCAAACCGAGAACCTATAATCTTGACCCTGGTTTATGATCATAACTTAAAAGGAAACTATCTCTTGGATGGACATAAAATTTAAATTCTCAAACTTGGTCAACAACTGGTCAACGTCAACGTTCTGGAA